CGTCTCTCTCTCTCTCTCTCTCTCTCTCTCTCTCTCTCTCAGTAAACTCTTAGTACGACCCTGCCAAGAATAAACCATCCCTGGGAGTCTCTTCCATTTGGAGATACAAGTGGAGGTTTTAGAAATTGAAGTTCTGAACCCACAACTCACCAAATAATCAAAAATAATGTGCAATGGGGATCCCAGTTTGGAATCTATAGCTTCACTGTTTTACCAGAAATATTTGTCAGCTATGCTGGGTTCAGAACGCCAACGAAATATGGATCTAAAAGTTCAGGTGTCAGACCCTAGTTTCATTCAAAAAATGAGTTTGAAAATTGAAACAAGACTGTTTTCTCCACAAAAAAAAAATAAAAATAATAAAGAAGTATCTAAGGGTAGAAATAATAATAAAAACTCCCCAAACGATAGAACTTGAACATGAAATAAAAAATCAGGAATCCTTCCATCGGTGACACTATCTTGAAACTTTCTGAAATTTTCTCTTATTTAAATTAGCTCTATGCAAAAGTTTCTCATATGTTAGAGGTATAATTTTCCCAAGCCCTTTAAAATAAAGCTAATACCTCTCGAATAGATCTTGGATTGGGAAGAGATTCAACTATAGACCAGGAAAGAGGTAGACCACCGGATCGAATCTGTGGTTCAAGGGTCACAAGTTGATCTTGTGGGTCAAGGGTCCTAAATTGTTTTTTGGTTTTTGTTTTTTGTTTTTTGTTTTTTACAAATTTATTCACATGAAAATTGGAGTAACCATGCATCTAATGACACAATACAAAAAATATTCAAGTAAAAAGTTGACCACAATGCCCTTGCATGTTTCAGAATTATCTTGGTCAATTTTTTATTTGAATTTATTTTTTTAATTAGGCACGACCTATAAACATGTATTTATACCGACTCTTATGTGAATAAATGTGTAAAAATATAAAAATAAAAAATAAAGAGAAAATATCATGTCGACCACCTCCTAAAACTCATTCAATCATGGTGTTCCCTTATTATTTTTCATATCACAGTGCATTGAAACTTAGAAGTTACCATCATCCCACCCCTTTCGTACTCCCGATGAACCTTCTCTTCCCCTATTCCTTTCGCCTACGTTGACAAAGATGGAGCTGGGTGACAAAGACGGACATGGAAGCGGACTTGGAAAAGAATTTAAATTTCATTTAAAGCACTTAATTTAATTTCGGTAAAAATAAGAAAAGGGGAGTGGGATGAATGACAGACATTTCTATGGGTGTGTATTTTTGGAACGTGACTTTGGAAACTGTATCTTCCAAAAAAGTGGATACCTCGAGTTCTATGTTGTAACTGGTTTCTTATAGAACCGGTCGTATCCACTTTTTAACCCTAAATATAAAGGAAATGAATATACTTTCTTATCAAATAGACAAGTGCTATGTATTCCAAAAATCAAACACACCCTAAATGTTAGTATCACATAATAGGAAAAATAAGCAAATGAATGTCCAAAAATTAAAATCAATTTATAACCCGGCCAAGATTCAATCTAATACTAGAACGAACGTATGTGCATCATTTTTGTGTCCATGTGTTGTGGACGCTCTACTCCTATAAAACTAGTAATTGCATAACCGATGCCAAAATTACCACATAAAAAGAAACTGGTCATTGCATAATGGATGGCGAAATTACAAAAAATAAAATTAAAAGGAAGTTTTATGAAGTGAAAATTTAAGGCCATTTGGATAGCAAGCTTGACCGACTTGTCACAGAGAGAGGAAATTGAAAAGACAGAAAGCTTTACTTGCTTATGGGGAGCAAGAAACAAAAGATAAATATAGAAGGGAGCCTTCTCAATGGGGAGCAAAACTAGGAAGAAACCAAATACCATTTTGCTTATGATCTACAGTTACTAACTCGTAAGTAACTAGTGGAAGAGGAAAAAAACAAAATTCAATTAATACAACTGAAAGTAAGAAAAACACAATTTGAAGGTTAGATTAAACCAGATGAAAAAAGTTATTAATTGGTCTTCTTATCATCTGTTCCATCCCCATCCGATGCACCTTCTACAGCAACAGGCGCTGGGGTTTTCTCTTCCTCGCCTCCAAACCCGTATTCATTCACCCGTGTTCGGTCTACTGGGTATATCCACCTTTGGTATACATAAATGAGGAAAATAACATCTGCAACCCAAAAAAAAATGAATAAAAATGAGATAATAATGTCATAAAATCAAAATACAGGCCAAAGAAAAGTAAATAGTGGATATTGTACTCTTTACAAATTTTTTCATACAACTTCTGGAAAATTGGTAGCAACCTTGTTTAATGATTTTCTTTATTGATGTAGGAAGTAATAGAATGTCAATTAATATAAAATCATTTTGAAGCATAATTTATAGAATTTATTTTTATCAGTAATTTTAGATCAATTGGTTTAATATTAGTAGGGTAAAGTATATGATAAATTACTGCTGAACTGTGCATATATCCCATGGAAAAGGTTTATGGTATACATGTATGCCTTGGGAACATCCACCATCCATTCCTGATAACAGATGGCTGAGATTAACTGACATTCCCAACATGAATGTCACCTGGGTCCAATTTATCTTCACCATCCACCATCACGAGCAGACAAATGCACACTCATGTACAATACACCATAAAATAGTGGTGTATAAATTTCGTGAGTAAGTTTAGTGGGTTACCATCACGGAAGACGGAGAGGCGGTGGAGCATTGGCATCTTGATGACAAAGGCAAAGAGGTCATCGATTATGGTGTTGAGGAATTTGTAAGTCATCTGCCTCCATGGGAGATGAGCAACCGACTTCAACTTGTAGTTTATAAAGAGCTGTGGACACATCATAATGAATCCTGCAACAACAACAAAAACTCTCACTTCAATTAGATGTTTTTTGCTCATTCACTTGTAATTATGATGTTTTACGTGCTGAGTTACTCTCTCTCTCTCTCTCTCTCTCTCTCTCTCTCTCTCAGGTTTATTTGAATGCAAAACCAAGGATCCATATGGAACGTATACACGGGGTTAGGGGTAGGAGTAGGTGTAGGACAACTAGTTATAAAGAGAAATGATTAGGGAAGAGAGAGAGAGAGAGAGAGAGAGAGCATTAAAATGAGTATATCCCATTTCAAAGAAGGGAAAAACGTATCATAGAACAAATCCATAATAGAGAGATAGAGAGGGGAATTAAGCTGTATATTGAACACATTTCGAGAGGTCCGATTCCAAGATGCACATTGGCTTCTAGAAGCTAGAAATCGCCCATTTCGAAGCAATTAGTCATGCTTTATCAAACAAAGAAGCAACTCTGCTTGTGTAATTGATTGAATGCAGCCGTCTTCATCTCAATGCCTAGGCACATTCCATTCTCACATACCAACCCAAAAATATAACTATACTATGATGAATTGTCAATAAAAGTTCTCTACTTTTTTTTAATAGTCGATAAAAGTTCTCTAATGATGAATGCATGCATTCATGAAAATTGGAATAAAAGCATACAACCTGAAATTAGATATACAGTACGTAATAAGGTAGTTACGGAACATTTACCAAACATGTAAACGCAGCTTGTGAGGGAAGAGAGGATCCATGAGTACCAACTCCTGTGGCGCTCGTACATGAGAGAATATATAGAGGAGCAGGCTACAAGGAAGAAGAGTACATAGGAGAGATACTTCATCGCAAGATCATCATATTCCTTTGTCTTATTACTTGCATAAGATTCCCTATCCTTAAACCTCAGCATGGGGATGGAACCACTCCGATCAATCTGAAAGAAAAAGAAAACAAATGATGGAGTGACCTTCATAAACATTCCTCTTTTTGTAAAAAATAAAATCTGATGTTTGTTTTGCATACCATACAATGTATTCACAGACTCAAATAAATTTTCTTTACCCTCTTAAAACATAAAGAACCGCCTATTGTCTCATTACTTCAAGTAAAAAGGTTGAACTTTTAATCCTTAATTTTGTGAGCCTGGATTCAATTTACAAAATCTTGACTAAAACGATAAAGGAAGAATATTTTACCACAATATGCATGGCTTTCCCAATTTTCCAAAACTCTATACAACATCCAATGCCAGAACTGGCGAGGATCATCCAAGATGTGTCATTGTCGAGAAGGTAGAGGAACACAATCAGCTGACAGATGAAGCTCACAACAACCGACTTTGCTGACAAACCCTCCATAGACTTATTTTTGTTCCAAAATTGAATATCTGCAAAAGAAAACAGATAATTAACACCCTAAGTAATTGTTATGAGCCATGGCCAAAGAAAGGGAATTACAACGTAACTACCATGGAAAGCAAAACAATGATGGAGGCAGCGGTGGGGGCCATGTCCTCTCTATCACCATCTGCCATTTCATTGGGTGGTGATGACCCAATGAATAATTGGTTTCCCATTGTTCATTGGATTATACTACACATACTTCAAAAGAAAAGTAACTCCTATTCTTTTAAGAACAAAGATAAAAGACAAGTAATGAAATAAAGAATACAAATAATCCGAGTAAAACACACCATTCTTAAAAGCCAAGAAGTCGAACACTGAATGCAGCAGAGATACAACCATGGTGATCAGCAGGAGATAAGGATTGCCTTCCAGGAACACCCTCTGTCTCCAAAACCACATAGAAAAGGATCAAGGCAAGTAAAGTTTCAAAAAGTACAGAATAGCTTGATAGCAAATTGAGAATAACTAGTCATAAATATAAATCAAAACTGGCGAACAAACATCTAATCAGCAACAGATTAAAACATTGATTTGGTTGATCACCAACAGGACTATGCCTGGTGCAAACCACAATTTGCCAGAACCTTTAGCAAGGTCAGTTATGAACCAAATTGGCTGATTTTGAAAAGGCACAAGATCAAAACTGGTAATCAGGATAAAGGAACTATATGGCATGACATAATTCCAAACAGATACATCACTGATCCAGTGTTTTCCAGAAATATGATGAAACTATCCTATCTATGTTACCCGTTTCTTTCTTTTCCCTTTTTTTCCTTTTCTTTTTTCCTTTTTTTTTCGCGTTGAAAAAAGCATACTACAGTCCTTCCCTGGCTGTGCATGCCTGTATGGTAAGCCCTGGAAAGCTGCTTGGTTGAAAGAGACAAGGACATGTAGGCTATGCAGCCTGCTACAAAACAGGACAAATTTCGTCTTTAAGAGAAATCAAATAATTTCTTAAAAACAGTAGAATAGTATGAATTTCCAAACCTGCATTGCTTTTGTAAGCTGCACGATTTTGCTATTCACCACAAGATAGAAAAATGTTGACAAAGAGAAGCAAACTAAAAAGGAAAAAAAAGTTTTCTTTTCCTTTTATGCAAAAATAGATCACACTTCATAACCGGGAAAGAATGGATTATGACTGAAGCCAAATTTTTCTAGCTGACCCGTAAATCAAATGTGAACAGTAGTTACTCCAGATCAGTAAAACCATAAGATCAATAACTTATTGAAAATAAAGAAAATAAGAAAAGATAATACCTTAAGTTCATCAGCCTCGCCTTCAAGCATGCTTCCATAACTTCGGTGAATCTGAAATGATTGATCTATTTGAAGGAAAAGCTGCCACTTGGTCATACTGATGGGACCTACCTCCAGATTGAGGGGCACTTTTTCTACAGACTCATTAAGAGCGATTAACTTATCCTTAAGTAGCCAAAACTCATTGAAAACTACAGTAGGGTAATAGTTCCCTGTGCTAGGCTCGACATTCAAGACTGCAATCTTAGGGTCAAGGATCCCATCAATTTATGAAACAGATAGACTATTTTGAGTGTAAGGGGAAAAAAGGAGAATTATTGTAAGTCATACGGACTATGGAAAACCATAGTAAATTGGGCTGTTCTGTTGGGGCCCACTCTTTCACCATCACCAGCCTATATGTCATTGGATAGTCATGATCCCTGAACAATACTATATAGACAAACAAGATATATACTTCCACGCATGTGTATGTTTGTGTGCACGCCATTTAAACAAGGCAAGCTAAAGGATACAACCCGCGACAGTCGGAGGAATTGCATTATGGGGGTACCTGTAAAGAAAAGGCAATAAATTAACAACTTTTAAATATGATAAATATAAAATCAATGCCTCAAGTGCACATTCTTTAAATAAATTTTCTTTCTTGATAGGTAATATCACTTCTATCCATATGGTTTGATAAATAACAGAAAAATAAACACAAATCTAACCATAACCAGCGCAATTAGAACTCAAATGCTCTCAAGCACAGATTGAAGCAGTACGCAGATTGTAGACTATTATACATTCAACTAGAATAGGTCAACTAGAATAGGACACTATGAAGAGAAAGTTTAGGGTAGGATACACATACCAAATCAGATACTTCTTATCTGTATCTCTTCCTATTCTCTCTCTAGTGGACAATAGACTCAAATTCACTGGTAGTTTTAGTGCTTGGAAAAATACGCAAGTTCACTTCATAACAAATTTTCTGATCCATGTCCGTTTTAAGTTTACAAAAAACAACACCATGGATTTTTCCTTTTTCAGTTAATTCATCGACCAAAACACCTAGACGATTATGCTTAAAGAATAGACCCCTCCAGAGTATAATGAAGATAGAAAGCATTTCTTCTTTCTTCTGTTTGAAATTATAATCATTTCTTCTTTTAAGTAACAACAAATCATTTTAAAAAAATTGCTGTCAAGACTTAAATCAATTTTGATATTCATGGGATATCATCTGTTCACTTGGCAAAGTCATCATGCACCAAATATATTTCTGCAGGTTCCAGTAATCTGCTTCGACAGTCAATATGTACAAATCAAGCTACAAAATATTGTTTCGTTGAGAGCTTATTTTTCTTTAACTGAGCCCAACTCTCGTCTCTTTCTACAATAATGTGGTCACTAAAACCAACAGCCCCATATCTCCCAATGATAGCATTACCTTGTGAAGTCATCCAGCAGGTTGATTGTAATATTTGCTTTCCAACGTGAAACCCATTCTGTAGGTCCTTCATCTTTGGCTTCAGTTGAACTTTCATCAGTTGCCTGTAAAACCACAAAAATGCTCAAAACTACAAGAAGTCAATTATATAAACTATGAAAAGGGTGCATCCTTATAGAACTAATGCACTGCACATATAGAGAAGAATAAAGGTCGTCATAGAATCCTAAGACAGCTTCAATTTCTACGATGTTGTTTCCCATCGTCCGAAACATAAAATCAGACCCAAGATGCAGCAGAAAATGCACAAATATTGTTTTTTGATAAAAGTTAACATTTGTATTGCTATAAATACATATTGGTTTAAATCCGAGAGTCCCCACTAGACGGGGCTTTCAGTAAAAAAAGAAAATGCACAAATATTGGAGATACATACCCGGGCAGATGGCTCATCCTCTTCAGAAACCTTGCCATCTCCAAGCAAGCTCCTCCGTTTATCAGCCTTCGACTTGGGCAAATAAGTCACAACAGCTAAGACATGAAATACAAGGGTTAACACAATAAACCTCTAGGATTTTTATCTCTTGGGGATCAACCCCAATAATCTAAGAGTTTCCAATCATCAGGAAACCTTCAAAACTAGTGTCCCAGGACACCTGCATAAATTGTGTACTTGCTCCAGAAGCTTGCACTCTCAAAAAGTGCCCAGGATCAATTATTTAATTCTAATGACCAGTCCAAATATTAAGATAGGATTTCGAGTTTCTGGAGCAGCAGCATGATTTTAATGCAGGTGTTTCAGGCACTGTAGTGATATCTTCATGAAATTGTATGCTCTTAACGAAATATTTGTAAGAAAACTTACGATGGGTTCTACCAAATGCTGAGAGAGGTTGATACTCAGGATCACTCGGGTCAGGAGGGTAACCAGAACGGGCAAAGAAAACATGGGCATATAAACTCCCGTTATGCTTCACTGACTGAAAAAAGTTAGGGGTATAAGTTCAGTGCCTACAAGGCTATAACATGCTGCAAAGAACCAGATACAGACAACACCATGGGAATATATAATATAGTCCAATGGGCTTTAGGTTATCATCATATAGTTAAGACCCCATTGCACAATGTTTTCTGCAGTACATGGGGTGCTAGCATGCTTGCCCTAAGTAGTAGCCAACATTTTAGTTCAAGACATTCTACAAATAAAAGTAAATTTATGATGTTGCTCAGCAACCACAAAACATGATGGTTTTGACAAATGAAATTTAATCGCTAGAATTTATGCCACATTAAATGGAATAGAATGTTTCATATCATAAACCAATAAAAGAAAAAAATTCTGATGTAGGAATTAAAACTCCAAGTATGATGAAAGTGCCTAGCTATTAAACCAATAAATCAAATACCTCTGGAAGATAATACATCAATGACAATGTTCTGGTTCTTTGTGGTCCCCAGACAGCATACGGCATATTTGTTTCATGCCAGACTAGGGCATCCTCATTACCAAAATCATTAAACTTTTCATGCTCAGAAAGATAAACCCACATGTCCTGGTTAAACACAAAATTTGAATCAGTATCATCAACAAATCAAAAAAAATGCAAATAAATGCATAATCATGCAGAAACGAACATGCTATCAAAAAGGTGCAAAGCACGAATGATCGCATTACCTGAAGTGAGTCATGGCAGTATACCCCCAAGTGTAATAGTTGCCATAGGACAGACTGATCGATATACATGTATGCACATGCATGTGCACACACAACGGTTTAGTATACTGTAATCCAATGGAACATGAAAAACCATAATCCCTAGAGGTCAATCCATTACAGTCATCACTATTTAATGCAGCAAAGGGGAGTGATGATGAGTGGACAGGAGATGAACATGGTGGGTCTGGGACCCACACTCCATTATTTTGTTGGGTGGTAATGACCACTATGAACTATGGTTTCATAGGCCATGGAATTGTAATATGGTCAATAAGATCTACGTTGATGAACAATCAGATTAGAGTATCCATCTACATACGGATTCTAAGCAACATATTGAAGTAGCAAGCTGTAAGAAGGGGAATGTTGGGTTATGCCAAAACATAAGCACCAGCTGCATTATATATAGTGCAAGCTACTGTCAACAATCCAGACATCTAGCACTAATTAATAGTTTGGAATCACTCTTCTTAGAGATGTTGATAGTTCAGAATCCTCAGACAAATCAAGGTGTACCCAGTTCCTTTATTTAGCTCTTAGGACCATAGACCATAGTCCTCATTCCATGATCCCTTATCCCTTAAAACTCTTATCCAAATTTGAAATTAAGCCAAGAATAGGATAAAGATCGCATTGAATTTCGAAAACAAGATGATAATTATCCAAAAATGTATGAGAGATAGCTAAGTCGAAATCCCAGAATTTTGGTACACTTTGACCAGAGCGACACAAAGTGTGTCACCCAAAGCGACACAAAGTGTGCCCCAAGAGCAACACATAGTGTGTCGCCCAGACCATTTTGTGTTTGTTCACTTTATCTGGTCAGTATTAGGTCTTGCGACACAGTTTGTGTCGACTGTTCACATTTGACTAGAGACTTTGTGTCGCCCAGATTTTGACCACTAGAATTTCTAATTTTGAACTCTAACCAACGAGATAAGCATCCCTAACATTTTCCCAACCACTCAGAGGTCTATAAAAGGACCTGAGCCTGACTTCTTAAAGGTTGGCCAATCAAGTTCTGTTGAAACTCTATGAGTGCAAATAAACACCTAGAACCCTAGGATCATCTACCCACATTAGAGATACCTAAGTTCTAGCCTTCAACCATTAGATCAGGGAACCTAACAAACCCATTCCAACCAAAGCTAGGGCTTGGTCAATTCTGAAGAGGAAAAGGAGGAACGATGTAAATTGAAGTTGTGATCCTGATAGGGGTGAAGCTTCAAGCTTCGGATGTCCTAGGCCAACTGGCCCTGTCAGATAAGTCCTTTCCCATTTCCTTCAGCCATTTTAGTTCTTAATTAGATCTTAGTTCAATAGCATTGTTTTCTTTCAAGTATTTTAGTACAAAAGTTATGCTAGCCCCGCCAATAATCTAAAGGAGGATATGTTCATTTGGATAGATCAACCCCTAGATTATAATTCGATTAATTCCACGACTTCTCTATCATTTTAATTAACAAGCTTGCAGTGTCAGATCAAGAGATTTTACATTTAGGAATGTCTCAGATTTAGATTGTAAACAAGCAGAGAACAGGTGGCGTCCTTTCAACACATTTGGCATGAAGCAAACTCCAAGGCAGATAAATTGGCTCGTGCAGGGGCTACTCACCCCTCTATCATCATCACCAACAATACTCCACCTATTTAAATCTCCCCCAAATTTGGTACAGACCTCCCATTTTATCTCAGTACCTATTTTGTATCATTTTATAGAATCAGTACGATGTTAATTACTTATCAAGACAAAGAAAACGAGAAACCAAAAAAAAAATTGGTCCTCTGCTCTTAGCTTATTCGACTTCTTATGGTAATACCAGCCTCTCAGGAGGCCTTATTGAACAATGGTATTCCCGCCCTTGCCAAAAGTGGGTATTATTTTATGATTTACAGTGCTGCCCATTTTGTGGCTCATATGGCTGGAAAGAAACAGTATATGCTGCAAAAATAAGAGAAGAGGGATAGAAAACATTCAGGGGCACATTAAGAATTTAGGGCCACTATTATTATATCGTGAAAAAAAAATTGGGGCTATGCTGTGAAGTATTTCAAGACAAACTAGAAGGACATTATCATAACAGAGTCGAAGAAAGACATTCGATCCAACAAATGGCGCCTTTCCCCTAGGGGTAGCTTCAAATCAAACTTCATGATGTTTCACGAAGAAGCCAGGGACCTATTGGGATTAGAAGTTTGTTGAGGGAGCACTGATTAAAGATTTTAATAGCCTACAATGGAGTTCTCCATGCATACAGTTCACATGAAGGGGGGAAGGGGTAGTACCCTTGGCAGCTAAACAACACAGTTCACGAGATCTTGGATCGTGTTGCAGACTTAAGGACATCCATATCACACTCATGTCTGAGGACAAACGAAGCAGTGGATGCACTGACCAGTTGAAGGGGTCTCCACACATAGCCCATTAGCAAACGAATTACTGAGGTTAGTGAGGAATTCTAGAGTCTATCGTACAAATGGTATGCATTTACTTCTTCGTCAATTTTGACATCAATGGAATTCGGTAGACAGTAGAAATAATTATAACATTGTAAGCTTGATACAAGAGACCAATATAGCAATTGCACTCAACCATCATCAGGTACGATTACAAGATCACAGGATTCTTTTATGCAATAAACTATCACATGTAGAGGAATGCTGAATCATTTAATTATACTAAAAGAATAAGTGCCATAGTGATCTCGGTATCACCTTTAACTTTTCAAAAACAACACAAACAGGCATATTGGTTCTAACAACATATTCAAAGTCATGCTGCCGCATCTTATTCTCCCTTGTAAGTCAAAAAAGTACTAAAAATGCAACCCAGAAATCCCAAATTATTATTGTCTAAAACAAATATCCAATAAAACCTGAACCAAAACAAAGAGCTGAGTAAAATAGAGCGGAAAGTGAATAATTGAGCTTGGGAAAGATGAGTAAATAGAAATAAAACCCCACAAAATTACGGTTTGTCAGTAAATAAATCACAATCCAACAAAATTACACTCCATCGGCAAAGAAAGCAATGAAAATTGAACTACCTAGTGTACCCCATTTCGCCACTAGACGCAATAAATAAAATCCAAAAAACAAAAGAGTGTAAATGTGGAAAAGCAGAAACTTCCATAAAAACATGAATTTTGAGCCTCTGGATGCATAGGCAGTAATCAACAAAAACCCATAAATAATTTACAAAAAAAATCCATAAATAATTAAACTTTGTGGACTTTGAAATTTACAATCTTATCATAGGTAAAGATAGCGAAGAAAAATATATATTTTTTACAATACATGTAGAGTGAGAAAGTTGGGAAATATTAACCCAGGTAGATAAGAGAGTGGAGAGAGAGTGAGCTCTAAAGTATTACATGTAGAAGGAGTATTAGAGAGAGAGAGAGAGAATAGAACGATGAATCATTTTCAATACATGAAAAGACCACTAATCTAGAGAGAGAGTAGAATAAATAAATGCATACAATAAAACGAATATTTTTTTAGCACAAATAGAAAAAACCAGCAATCTAGAGAGAGAGACGAGCTCTCAGAGGCTTGAAAACACCAACCACGAATTCTCCCTTTGAGAAAAGATTGGAAATGAGGTGAGGCGGCTCAGAAGAAGGGGGAGGTTTCTTGGGACCGAAGAATTTCATCGCGAAGTACCAGAAAATCGCCATTCTTATAATTCCTTGGATCGTTTGGCCTAAACCTCCTTGCTGTTGTTGCCTCTGTTGCTGCTGTTGCTGCTGCTGCTGCTGCTGCTGCTGGGGTGGCGCCATGGTTTCTGGTTTGGGCCCTCTCAGGAGAGAGATAGAGAGGGATCTGAGAGGGACGAGAAAATGAGGAAGAGAAAAGGGCGACAATATAAAGGGGAAGGGCGAAGAGAGAGAAGAGGGTTTTGAGACGCTAAACGGAGAGAGAGAGAGAGAGAGAGAGAGAAACGCCAGCGTGGGAAAATATCTCCAAAACGTCGTTAAAGATCTAAAATAAAGTTGGGTGCGGTTTGTATAGGGCCGAGGCTCTAAACAATCAAAGTAGAGCGTACATTCAAATACGGTCGAAAAATGTGGTTTTCATATTGAAAATATTTGTGATAGCTTTAAATTATATTTTTATATCTAACTATAAAATTCAAAACTTTAAAATAGTGTAATCAATCAAATCTATGAAAATTTGAAAATTTTGAAAATTGACCGTCCAAAAATGCATTACAAGATACACTATTTTCAAAATTTGAAATCCATTTTTTTCTCGCATCCTTGCATCTTTGATGTCGAATTTGAGGATGTTTGAGCATCAAAACAGTCTCTTCCAATGTTTTTTTGAGGCGGGCTCTAATTTGATTGTTTAGAGCCTTGACTATGGACAGTTTTTTCCCAATAAAAGTTATATAAGTGAAATGCTCTAAACAAACAAATTAGAGCCCACCTCAAAATTTCATTAGAAGATGTTCTTTTGATGCCCAAATATCTTCGAATTGATCATCTTTACATCAAAATGCATGGACATGAGAAGAAAATGGATTTCAAGTTTTGAAAATAGTGTATCTTGTAATGCATTTTTTTACCGTCACTTGTCAAGATTTTCAAATTTTTATATAACTGCTCAATCTACATTATTTTTTAAGCTTTACATTTTATAATTAAATTATAAAAATATATTTTAAGGCTATCACAAAGATTTATAGTATTAAAATTACATTTTTTTATACTATTTGACGGTATGCTTTATTTTGATTATTTATAGCCTTGGCTCTATACAAACCCCACCCTTTAATCAAAGGGTGTGATTTGTATAAGGTTGTAAACTTAAACAACCAAATTAAGGCCCACCTCCAAATTTTATCGTAGATATAATTTTGGTGTAAAAACTTCTTAGCATCACTTGAGAATCTATATTTATCTGTAACTATAACATCTTAAAATCCAAAAATAGTTAAAATCAAGTAGATTTATAAATGCGTGGCAATCTTGAAAACAAACGATCATGCTAATGTGTTGCAAGATACACTACTTTTAGAACTCGAAATTTTTTTTTGCTTTTCATATTCATACATATTGATGTTGATATGGTCATTTAGATGTTCTGAAAGCCTGTTTGTCTGTTGTTGATCGAGTTTTTTTTGTTACTCGATCAATTTGTTCTTGAGGCTTGTACTTATTGTTCGTGCAATAGGAGCATAGAGACAACTTCTTCTATCAGTCACGCTATGAACCAGAAGGTCCACGCCATAAATCAGAAGATCCAACTCGTTTGTTTATACAACTTATTGTTCAAACTCTTGAGTTCGAGGGAGGATAAGTTTAAACTCTAGATGCTTTGTGTCAAGCATCTTGAGTTTAAGGGAGGGTATTAACGTATGGATATAGAATATTGATATGTATCATATATATTAATATAGATATCCATATATATAGATATGTATCTCTTAATAAGATTAGGTGGTGTCTATTCATAACCATTGGTATTTATCTGATTAGGTGATGTCTATTCATAACCGTTATTAGGTGATGTCTATCCATAACCGTAACCATTGGTATTTATATGATATATATCTCATCTTTTAGCTTCTCAACTTCTCTCTCTCATGGAGCCTTCCAAAGTATTTGCTGCTTCTCTCCTTTGTTTGGCCTTTATATTTGCATTATCAGCCCAAACTGGTGCGCTTCCTTCTTAACAATGCCACTTTCCGGCCATCTTCAACTTGGGAGACTTGAACTCAGAGACCGGCGGTCTGTCGGCTGCATTCGGGCAGGCCCCTCCTCCCAATGGAGAGTATTTCCTTCAGCACCCTGCCGGTAGATATTCCGATGGCCGTCTCGTCATCGACTTCGTCGCCAAAAGCTTGGGCTTGCCATACTTGAGTGCCTATCTAGACTCAGTGGGCACAAATTTTAGCCATGGAGCCAACTTTGCAACAGCTGGGTCTACAATTAGGCCTCAAAACACGACCTTGACTCAAACTGGGTACAGCCCCATTTCCTTGCATGTACAATTATTGGAATTCGACCAATTCAAGTCTAGATCGGACTATTTTCGCCTGCGAGGTGGGGTCTTTCAAGAGTTGCTGCCAAAACAAAGTTAGTTCTCAGAAGCATTATATACATTTGATATCGGCCAAAATGATCTTACTGCTTGGCTTTTTGATAACTTGACTGTTAAGCAAGTCAAGACCTGATATTCTTGATAAGTTCTCCATTGTCATCAAGAATGTTTATTGGCAAGGTGGAAGATACTTTTGGATTCATAACACTGGTCCTGTTGGCTGCTTGTCATATGTATTACATAGGCTGCCTGTACTAGCACCTCAGGTGGACAACGCTGGTTGTGCGATCCCTTTTAACCAGGTGGTCCAATACTTCAACCAATTGTTGAAAGAAACTGTTATTCGACTCCGTAGCGACCTCCCAGATGTGACATTTGCTTATGTCGATGTTTACTCAGTCAAGTATCAACTCATTAGCGAAGCCCCTAAATATGGTTTTGGGAATCCTTTGAGGGCATGTTGTGGTCATGGTGGCAAGTACAAAAACAATAACTTTGGCTGTGGAAGTGCGATAATATGCAAGTTATGCAACCATAAACTGGGATGGTGTTCATTACACACAGGCTGTGAATCAATGGGTTTTCGAGAAAATTATTGGTGGTACATTCTCTAATCCTCCAACTCCATTGTCACAGGCTTGTCATGGGCACAAGCAATTAGAATTTGCCTCGCTTCTCTTGGTTTTCCTTCTTTAAATTTTTTTTTTTTTTGGTGAATATGAACATTTAATTTTACTGGTTTTCTTCCTTTAATTTTATCATATGAACATTTAGTTTTATCTTAGGAACTTATTTTGGGAGTGGGTAATCACCTCCCACTTTTGTTTTGTGGGTTGGTAGAATTTGACTGGTTTCTTTTCTTCAATTCTCTCATTAGATTTTATTTAGTGGGTGTGTAATGTTGATTTAGTGGGTGTGTACCTTGAGGCCCTTTTGCTCTCGGAAATTTATTTTTTCATTAATGGTATCAAAGCATTAATCAATATACTCCAACATCTATGCTCCTCCAATGGGCAGTTGAGAGTGAGAGAACTTGATTTAAGTGAGACTATGAATTTAAAATACGAGTATAAAACATTTCATATCCTTTCTTTTGAAAAAGTCCTTGGGCTTGTGCTCTTTTGTCATTCTCCCTCTCTTAATCGCACCTATTTTTTCTTGTTTCTCTCTCTAACTCATAGGTCTCTCTTCCTCTTACAATCTCGCTCTTCAAAACCAGACTCTTGCAATATCTCTACCAAGTAACATTAAAAACCACGTGTTTCTCCCTAAAACAAGACTCTTGTACTATCTCTACCAAGCAAGAGTAAAAACCATGTGTTTCTCCCTAAAACCAGACTCTTGCAATATCTCTACCAAGCAAGATTAAAAACCATGTGTTTCTCCCTAAAGTTATGTTGAAAAACCCCATATATCTCTTTCTGCAAAACCCACATATACATCCGCTAGAGAGAGGAGCTACCCCATATTGAATCTCAGCCCTTCTCCCCCTTTCTCACCACCTTCAACCATTAAAAGAGCTTAGGTACTGCACCCTCTTTTCGCGCATGTTAACTTGTTCTTAGCATCATTTCCCCCCTTCTTTTTAAGTATTTATATTATTTTTTTTCTTTAGAGTATAGTTAGCAAGTCGGATTATCAATAAATCGGCTCACCATGAAATCGAAAAACTAATCGTTTTTTATTTTAAAAAGTTGGATAAAAAAAATAAGGTAAAAAAAATGGATCGGCAAAAATACTTCATGTAAAGAGATCGCGAATATCTCGGACTAAGCTCAAAAAATCGGCTATGTTTAAAAGATTAGAAAATTTGAAATTCTATATATATATATATATAATATCACTCAATATAAAAATATCCTCCCTATAAATATAAATTTCAAATATTCAATGCGATATATCTCTAAATCATAAGATGGCTCTTTATTATATTCGTCACAATAAGTATTGGGTAGGTGAATTTAATTTTCATCTTTCTATAAAGAAATAGTCTACCCATACTTGCTAACTTCGGTCTACCCAAAAATACGTACCATATCCATAGCTGAGATCTTTCGGGATAATAGAAATAAAAATAAACACAAAACAAGGAAAAGACATTTAACTTTCCAAAAAAAAATAAGAGTATATTAATAGAAAGGTTTCTTTGAAACGAAGTTTTCAAATTTTGAAAAAAACGAGTTTTAAACTTCTTTATGAAAAAATAGCATATTTTTACCGATCTATTGAAAAAGTCATAGATTAAATCGTTTTAAAAAAAAAACGCCGATTTTTTTGAAAAAAAGTCATGATTAAAGACTTGCTAACCATGCTATACACCATTAATGAAAGGGAAACTCAAGCCCTGCAATTTTGTGTTTGCGCTTCATTTTATTATCTATAAACAAGAGAAAAATAGAAGAAACCACGCCTCTACTAGATCTCTACTGATTCTTCTTCCTTGACTGAGCATCATTCATCTATCCAATGGAGCCTAATACAAAAAAATTTGGTCACTCAAGTTTCGGACAAAAACCTTTGAAGTTGCAGCAGAAAAAAAAAACTATGGGAATGGATTGGGCGAAAGTGTTAGACCATGGGAATGGATTGGGATGAAAGTGTTAGAAAGAGAAAGTATAGGAGATGAGAAAAGGTTGACACTTTTATTTAAAGTGTTCACACCATATTGATAATAGATTATATCAACCGTGGTCAAGTATCAGAGAATATTGCCAAGGGCCACATATGCTTAAGTGTCGATAAATAACATTCGGCTCTATTCAAAGTATAACACTATCGTTAGGTGTCTCGCTCAATGAGCTGACACACACCCGACA